AAATGAAACTGTAAGTATATTTTCTCAATTCTATTTATATTGCATTCGTGATTAATAAGATCTCGTGGTATGTATTGTGAATATATATATTTTGAATCTAAGTTCAATTTTACAATTCTTTATAATTTCATAAGAAGTTCATCACAAAATACATAACAAATAATAAGTAAAGACAAAATCATATAATTCTTTTATTCTCATATTTAAATGTTATACAAAATATAAATTTTCTACTTAACTGGAAAATGTATAATTTACTATTTTAATAAGCAATATGATGTTGTCTAACATAAGGAGCAAAAATTCCTATAAATATATATGTTTCATTTATATAAAACTGTATTATAAAAACAGAACTTTTCTTACGTGTAAATAAATTACAAATCAAATGAGCAAAGTAAGAAATTAAATTAAAGTATTAAGTTTTTACTAAAAACTTAAATTAAAATCATTTATAAATGGTTGAAAACTTTTCACTCAATATACTAAATCCACTCAATATACAAAATCAAAATTGTCCTTATTAAAAATTATAATCATAAACATTAATTATTATAATCCTGCAAAAATTAATTCATTATTTCAATTATTATCTGCTATATACATGTTCGCTTTTAATAAAAATCTTGATTATTAGATTTTCTTAATCCAGTTATCCAAAATATCATAAATGTATTCTTAATCCTCCTATGATTTCAAAATATGGATAACTGCATTCTATACTATTAAGCATATTCAAAGCTGATTAAATTGTAACTGCCCTCCATAAATATTCAACAAATGCTAAAAATTATTTCATGTATCTTCTCAAATGAATACTATACATAACTTTCACGCTACCTTTGTAATTTTTATAGTTAACATTTCTAATAGGCAAAATTACAGACAAATATATATAATCCATATTACAATAAATATAAGACTTGATGCTTATCTTTAACAAACCCATTGTTTTAGAATATTCAGAAGTAAACTTATCCTTTCAACATTCTTATTTTGTTTTATTCCTCAAAAGCTACGTTATAAATTAAGGAATTAAATTTTATTGTATAACTTTTTTCAAATGTACAAATATAATTAATGAATTCTTTTTTTTATATTAGCAAATCATGCGAGCAACTATCGTCATTGTTTTGGCTTTCGCCACGGGGATTGTTATAGCCACATCTAGAAATCGTAATTATTCTCATTTCGTAAAACATCCTGCAAAACCACGAGTAATTCGAGGCTTTAAACCTGAATACATATCTACGGCATATGGTTTCGGGAAGAGGCAAAGTATTATTGATATTCCAAAAATTAATAGACAGGAACGAATTTTATCTACATTTCTACGCTATTTCCCACAAAGGTACATATATATTCTGTTAAATTATTTCTATATACACGGTGTTTCGAACTTAAAATCTCAAACTGCGAGGATTTAATCTATGCATAACAAAAAAAAGGTGTTATACAAAATTCGACATCAAATACTTTGTTATAGAGTTCTGAACAAATATTGTATACATGAAATAATAAGCAAGAAGAAACATATTCTTCATTACAATACACAGTTCATAATAGTTGTTTATAATTCTATAACAAGTTATTTTTCGATAAACTTTGTATAACATTTTTTTCTTCTTTTTATATATAGATAAAAGTATAATAATAAATTCTCACAGTTTGGCTATTTAAGTCTGAAACATGTTGCATATTCAACAATTAATAAGAGAAATACAAATATAATTAATAATAATAAGTTACTTAATTTCTCAATGTAAATAATGTAAAATATTTTAATTTCAGAATACCTGTAGAATGGTTATTTCAACAGATAAAGACAAACCCAAATTTTGCTACGAAATTAACACAAGTGTTAATGGATGAACGTACTAATTTCATATCAATGATGGATCGCTCTAATCCAGAAAAAATAACTTGGCTGTATTAAATCATTCATTGTATGATCAAATAATATATACAATTTCTAGCTATAACCTTTTAGTTTAATAAATCTGCGATATTCGAGAAATTATTTCATCGTTATTAATGTATCATTTTCCTCAAAATAGTGAATCGAATAACGATTCTCTGATATACATATACTACTTTTGCACTATTTTCAAATATCAATCAATAACGACTCAATGCGCAGTACATTCTTTTAAACGATTTAACTGCAAATGCAGTTTGAAAACTAAAATCTGATTGGTCAAGTTTTGACAACCTATCACGATGCACGTAGACGAGCAATGGGAATTTATGATTTAAAGTAAATTGAATTCTCTACAATATTACTCAAAATTATTGTTATTAAGCTCGGGAAAGGTAGATTTTAATGATAAACCTAATCTATTGTCACAATTCATAATCGCTAACGAAAATAAAAAAATATACGTAGGTTATGACTATGTCTGGATAGTAAATGGTAGCTACAAAGTGTGACTATCTATGTTACGACTAGTTAATGGTTTACAGCTTAGAAGGGTTTTCAGTTTCTGCGTTTTATGGGCTTTCTTTATTTGTGCATTTGCGCATTGTTCTGGTTTCGAGATCTTGCAACAGCGAATTAGTTTGGAACGTAAGAACATTTGACTTTGGCAGTTGAATCAGTCTGAAAAGGAATAAGACGGGAACAAAAGTGATAACTTGAATACGCAATATCTAAGTGACGCCGGCCACCTTAAGCCTCGGAGGCACACGGACGACGAAGGTAAGAATCTCTCGAGACATACTCAATCGAGTATACATATTTTTTTTCATATAAATAATACGCAAAATTCTGTGACATTTGTTATTCGAAATTCTACAGATTGACATGCAGTAATATTTAACGACATTACAACGTTAACCTCAAATATTTATAAATATATATTTAAGCGAACTGAGAGTCAGTATAACCAATACGTATCACGATAGAATTATAATCGTTTTTTTTTTTTTTTTATAACGATTCGAAATCTTTGTTGCAAAGCGTATTAATGTAAATTTTTTGTATTATTTTGCGTATGATACGAAATATTTATGAAGTACTTGAGTTTCATGCATAATATACATAGTTTTATATTAGCATGTTGTTTTAAGATTTCATTGCGAATCGTAAAATAAGAGATAAAGAATGAGTTATTGGTTGTAATTTAAATTCATTTCAAAGTTTTATTGTGTTGACTAAATTTCCGAATATCATTTTATCTGTAATTTATAAATATATTTTTATTATTAACACGTATATTTCATGTTACTCATAACCAGTTGGTATTAAATTTAATATCAAAATTTATTTTTGATGCAAAATTCCGTTTTCATCGTTTTCTTTTTCTCGTTAAAATTTTTTTTGTTAAAATTCTTACATTCTATTTATTTTAAAAAACTTTAAAAAACGCCTATCAAATTTAAAAATAGATATACTTGTTTAGGTATGAATTAATGCTATGTGCAATATTTTGTATGATAACTTGTATGATGTGACATTAACTTTTAATTGAGCTTTTAAATATTATTACTTCAATCTGTAATATATTACATACACCATTAGATTCTGTGTATTTGTAAATATTAAATATTTCTATTTTATAGTATTTACATAAACAATTATTTTCTAGTTAAAAAATTTATATATAAACATTTTTTACTTTTTAATAATTTCTTGTTCTTTCTTCATTATCAACTCAATAGTTAGTTTTCCTGTTACTAATAACTGCCTACTATGTATTACGATTACATTATTTTTTATACAAATTTTAAGTGACACGATAGAAAGATAACTGATTTTAGTTTTATGTAGTCTCACTTATATGATGATACGATACAATACTTTAGTTTCTCTTTTCCTAAAGTTTTCCTTTTCCCTTTGTTCTTTCTTTCTCCACGTCCAAGACATTCTTACAGGTTGAAAGTACGCTCGTTATAGTTTCTAGTGCAGTACAGAACGGTTTACGGTTTACCGGTATTTCTTAGTTTGTGTTGTGTTCGAGTTGAAAGTTTAAAGTTTAAAACAAAAAGTTCGGACAAGAAATACTGAAAATTAACAGTATGCATTATAAATGTGAAAAAAGTTCAGTTTATGTATAAAGTACTAAAGTTGTTAGTAAAAAAAAGTTATCAACGTGATATAAAAAGTATGTTCGACGCGGTATGGATTGCTCGCATTGTGCCTTCAAGAGCAAGTACTGCACAGGCTCTTATTGATACAGGTAAGCCCTGCGATGCTACTGATGCAGATTTTTCAGTGCTACATTTGGTCGGTTCGGCTAAAAAATTCACCTCTCAAGTAAGGGGAATTAACAATTTGTTTAAGCAGTGGTCCCATTTCTAGTCAAATTATTATTATATATGTCGTAAAGAAGAATAACTTTTTTACAGGCTAGAATATTTCATCATGTCAGACTCTGGTTCAGAAAGTTCTTCTTCTGAGGGTTATGATGGAAGGAGAGATCGTGTTGCATCAGCTGACAATGTGGCATCACCAAACTTCTCACATCATTCGTCTATATCTGGACGTAAATCTAGAGCAAGTTCTATTTCTTCAAGAGGAAAGTCACCTGGATCTGTTTTATCAGAAAGAGATTCAAAATCCCCAAGATATACACCAATATCTCCAAAATCTCAAAGATCTGGATTAGCTTCTCCTAGTGAAGTGGGTTCTCCAAGATCAGCTCGTAGTTTATCAAAATCACCACCTGCTTCGCCAAAATCATATCATTCAGAAAACAATTCTTTAGATTCACCAAGAACTGATCGGAGTTTATCTCCTATACAAGATGAGAGGTCATCTACTCCCCAAGATTCTAAGTCTATACATCTTGAAGATGCAGAACCTAAACAGTTTGAACTGGAAGTAGATGCACAAAGATCTGGAGACAATTCTCTTAAATCATATTCTTATAAAAATAGTGAATCGAGACAGAGTTCACCAAAGTCGCCTAGATCCGGACGTAGTTCACCGAAATCATTATTGTCTGCGAGAAGTTCTCCAAAATCTGGTCCAGCATCTCCCATGGATGATCAAGAATCAGAAAAACATTCACCGCCTCATTCCCCACCTATAAAAGCTTCATTTAATGAATTGGATGGAGAACAAATTTCAGATGGAGATATCGAAGATGAACCTGAATCAATAACTAAATCAAAACCTACTCCGATTACACATGGCGAAGATTTATCAGATGTTTCTGATCTAGAAAGTATAGATGGAGTTGATGGCACTACTGAACATGAATCAATGTTGAAAGAAAATCAACAAAATGAAGAGAAACGTATGAATAACGAGAAAATAGAAAAAGAAGATAAACATGCACCAGTTGGATTAACAGAAGAAAGTGAGCAATTAGATTTCGAAGCTGATGGTCAATGGAAAGATGAACGTGATGAAGGTAAATAATTCATGAATTCTTTCCGATTGAAATAAGTATTACTAAAAATATTACTTTTAGGTGAAACAGAAGGATCAGTTATCAAAGAAAACAAAGACAAAGATGATAAAGATGGAAAAGACAAAGATAAAGATAAATTGAAAATAAAAGAGGGTGGCGATATCAATGATAAGGAAGAAGGAGAAGAAGATGGGGAAAAAGTAGAATCTGAATTAGAAGAAGGAGAGCTTAGTGATGGTGATGATGTTCGACCTGAAGAAACAGAACCGAGGCCTGTTTGCCGCTTCTATAACCGAGGTCAATGTACATGGGGAGTTAGTTGTAGATTTTTACATCCAGGTGTAACTGACAAGGGAAATTATACTATGTTTGATATGGTAAGACCTATGGCATATCCACCACATGCAGCTGCTCCGCACGAATTCAGACCGCACATTGATAGGCCAAACATGGTGCGACCATTACCTGGGTATGGAGCACCATCACATACATCGAAAGTAGAAGATTTACCTACTGAATCTGCGTGGGAACGTGGATTACGACACGCTAAAGAAGTAAGTTTCTATTTGAAATAAACTACATCATTATCTTTTGTATGTAGTCATACTGATATAATAAACACTTCAAATGTAATTTTTTCTTATTTTCTCTCTTTGTACGTAACCCTATATTTTTTAATATTTAGTTCTTATTTTACTTTCTTGTTTTTGTTTCTATGAGAATAGAGAAAGTTATAAACCTAAGAAAAATGGAAAGTGTAAAAGTGTAATGAAACTAAAATAAGTTTTATACATTATAATATTTCTATAAGAAATAATTTTATCTTTTTTTCATGCAGATGATGCGTAAAGCAAACAAACGCAAGGAATCAGACATGGATTTCGAAGAAAAGAAGATGAACTTAAGTTTAGGACAAGATGAATTAGATAGAGAAGCAGGATATTATGTAAGAGCAGCTAGTCCAGAACCACCTGTTGAAAGATGGCCACCTAGAGAAGCACCTAGGAGGATACCACCACCGAGGCTTACACCAGAAAGATACATTGATGAGCCTGATACTTATTACGCACCACCACCAGCAGCACCACCAGAATATTACAGGTAATATTTATAATACTTATTATTAAAATCATAAATCAAATTGATTTTTAAACAAATATTCAAATACCTTCTCTTTTTTTTAAGGAGGGTACATTATAAAGCAGACTCTCGAATCACTGCTGAATATAGAGAACGTATCGATTATCACGCAATACCTCGGGGAACACCTCATTCTGTTTCTCCACCGCCACATACCAGGGAAAGAGAAAGAGAAAGAGAACGAGAGCGGGAACGCGATAGAGAACGAGAATATTATGAAAAGTATGAAAAGAAACATAAACGTCCGTCAAGAGAAGTTATAGTGGAACGCATTCCACCAACGAAACCTTGGCGAGAGGAGGAGCCACCACCAGAAGAAAGAAGTAGGGGAGATGAATGGGCAGATCCTTGGATGCGCCGGAAATCTCCGAGTACAGTACGTCGAAATGCATCATCTCGACGATCACGAAGACAATCATATTCTTCGGGTTCTTCATATACATCAACAAGGTAACCACTATTTTTAATTATAGAAATAATATAAAGAATATAATTTTTGTGTTACTAAATATCAAATTAAAATAATTTTTGTTTTAATATTTATAAAAAAAAAAGTACAAACGTACTGTATACTGTTTTTAGTTCTAGCCGTAGCTCGAGCCGCTCTAGCTACAGTTCTTACGACTCCCTATCCAGGTCCCGTTCACCATCCCCTCCTTCTAGAACTCGTGGTGCTGGTAAGGGGAAAGTGGTGGTGACATCGCCACCTTCTAATCCTCCAACAGTTGCAGCTGCTGCACCTCAGCGTGGTGCCATGTTAATGAATCCACCTGCTCCTTCTCCTCGTCCACCTAAAGGTTCCATTTCCCCTACAACTGGTACGCTTCACCGACGAGCTGGTCTTAACCCACCTGCACCGAGTCCGCTTTCTTCTCATCAGCGTCATCACGAAAAAGCCAGAGACAAAGCAGCGATAGCAGCTGCCGCAGTGGCTAAAGTTATTAAAAGTCGATCGAGATCGAGGTAAAAAAATATATATATATATGTATGTAAAAAGTGTATTTCATTAATTTTAATAAAATTTAAACTCAATGTGTTAATAGAAACAATGATACAATGTATGTATCACTAATGTAAGAAAAAAAAATATGTTTCAAGGTCGTCACACAGTAGTTCTGGTTCTGAAAGCAGCGGTAGCAGTAGTGACTCTAGCGAATCGAGTTATTCCTCTTCTTCCAGTGAAACACGTCGAAGGAAAGGTTCGACTCCGCCAATAACACGAAAAGATTCCAAGGGTATCGATGCCTTAAAGCTTAGTGGTACTAAACAACAAATCAAACTTACATTAAAGCCGCCAAATAACACTACGGCAGTAAAAAAAGTTGATCGATCTGCTTTGATGGCTGGGAAGAAAAGAAGTTTAGAATCACCACCGTTGATTGACAGTAAAGCAAGCGTCGCTGCAGCTGCAGCCAAAGCAGCAAAGAAAGCAAGTTCACGACGAGAAGAATTGTTGAAACAACTTAAAGCAGTAGAAGATGCAATTGCACGTAAGAGATCAAAAGTGTAATGCAGCATACTTTTGTTGTTTTGGAAACATGTATGTACACATATGTAAACACAAATATTTCCTAAGTATAATTAGCTACTATAAACGTGTGATATGAAAAACAGAGTGGAAAATTCATATCAGAACAAAAAAGCATTTCTAATTTAACAAATTTTTCTAACCATAATGTTGATATTCAACTTCTGAGTTGTTTTTCGATAACGTGTAAACCAGCGTACAATGTTAAGCAAATATAATGTAAACTGTATCACTGTAGTTTCTTTGTTATTGGAAGTTTAAAACTATATGTGCTTCACTACACACATGCATAGGGTGGAAAGAAATGTTTGATCTTATTTATCATAGGCAAATTTTATATCATATACTTGATGAAAAAACTGCTGCAAGATCAGGAAGATTAAACTTGTCCAAGGAATTATGAGTTGTAACTTAATCGTTCTATTGAAAAATGACAAAAAAATGACAAAAATTGACGAAATCAACGACTGACTCGCAGAATATAAATGTAAGCAAAAAAAATTTTGACTGTAAAATTCAAGGTCAAGATCAATTTTGCGGCAAGTTCCTTACATGTTTTTCACTTATGATAGCCAAGACCAAAAATTTATTTCTATCCTGTACGGATATGCCTGTATGCGAATAGTAATAGATATGTAAAAACTTCGAATCGATATACTTTGTAAGAATTCAATGATCATAATAATTTGTAGATCTAGGATAAGAATAAACTGCAAAATAACGTCTTAAAACTGCCAAATGCACGTAAATGAAGACAAACGTGTAATTTATTTATGTGAGTGAAAAATTCTGTTGAAATATACGATATATCTATTATTATAGCAAACTTACTATTTTTAAATAAATACAAACAAGTTTGGTGATATTAAACGACAATAAAATGTCGCGCCAGTATAAATATTCTGTAACTTCTCTTTTTATCTTCTAACAAACTAAGTTGATTATTGTAACATTATCATTATTAGTTCAGTCAAAACTGAATTAATTCAAACAATACTTTTATCTAAGAGAATATATATATTATAAAATATATATTATTAGAAAGTGTGAATATTTTATACAGCTATTTTTACGTTACATATATACAATTGCAAAAATTATAAAAAAAAATTTCATTATAACATGCAAAATAAATAACGTGATTAAAATATGATTTTGCTATACATAAATAAATATACTAGATGAATGAACTTAGGGATGTAAAAGTTCATTAAAAAGAATGTATTCTTTCATACAAATTCCAGTAGGACGATGTAAATTAATTTTCTTCAAAGTAGCGTAAACAGATAACAATAAAATTTGTGAATTCATAATAAAAAAATATATATATGTGATTTTAATACAAACATTTTATTAACAGGACGAACACTTTGTTAACAATAGTTTATTAAATATAAATTACAAAACAAGATCATAAGATCAAGACGTTGTTTATACATATAGCTGTATTCTAGTTTATTTAAGTTGATTTAACAGTCCATGAAGAGGTAGAAAAATTATTTTGTTTAATATTTTATATACAAATTAGAAAATAAATTGGGATGGATCGCAATACTTACGTAATTGATTTTTACTTTAAAATGAAAATAACAGCTTTCATTCAACAAAACCACATCAGTAATACAATTCATCCAAAGTTGAAAATATGTACATTAAAATGCTATATATACAAGATTCCATAGAATATTACTTTAGTAATGCTTTCTCCTATCAGATAAGATCCAGATTTTATATTTTTATAATTTTAAACAGCTGTATAATTTAAGATAGGTGAAGCTATTGTAGAATTAATTCAAGTAAATATGAGCATCTCGGAGTACTAAATTTTTACATTTAATGTATATACATGTAAAAAAAATCAATGTAAATGTATCGGAAACGTTGATCAATTCCACTGTGATAATTTTATAATCTGGAAGCAGTTATCTCAGAATCCGATTGTCTGTTAGCACTGCTTATGTCGACAGTATCCTGACTCGTGCGAATAGGAAGTCCCATAAATCTATTGATTCCATTGAGCGTGCTACGTCTCGATCTAACCGAACTATTGTCATGAGTTTTTATTTCATTGTACTTGAACAGACCATCACCGGGCGCGGGCAACGAGTTTTTCGGCGACTTAAACCACCATTGATACGTGACGTACCACGTTAAAACGGCGGCTACACCTCCAAGAAATTTTTCTATCATAATATGATAGTAAAGCATCGTGGATATCAACATAGTATCCCATAGTAATTGTTGCATCGTCATTGCAACGAAAAGACCTCTTAGATAAGGCGTAAGCGCTTTATGTGCTTTTTTTAGAAACTCCAGATCAGAGTTGGAAAGATTCCGGAGTGGTCCAGTACTGGGCTCGTTCGGGGTAACTCGCGAGTGTTCCTCGCGCATAATCAAGTCCTTTATACCCTCCCAGCCGACTAACGAAGAGCCCTCTTCCGCCAGGATCAAACTTGAGTATATAAGGATGAACGTGTGCCCAGATATATCAAAACCACTCCAAAATTTGCCGGATTGGAGGCATTTTGCTTTCGTCTGCAGCTGCGTGTCCTTCGTGCTGAGACAACGACCGTAGTTCGTCTCGATATAATTGAACAATTTCGTCCATAGTAACCACGCGACCGTGGCCAAAACCAGTCTGGCAAGATGTTTCAACAAAATCGACCTACGGCCGCATCCAAGCGTGTGCGCGGTCAACGCGACCCATGGAACGGTTATGGTCAGTAACCATCCCCATCCCCACTTCACGAAATACTGATTGAGCGCGTTATCCGGACGCGAGAAATACGTTCTTGGCATGGTGATAACATCCGCTATCAACGACACCACGAATATCGCGCCGCAATATATAGCAACTTTGAGCCTCGTATCGAACAGTAGAGACTTTTTGCAGACGTGCAGAAACATCGTTACAAGTACGAGACCTATGGAGCTTGGGGCAGCTGTCGGACGAGTTCCGCCTCTGTCCTCCTGCGTCGAATTCGGACGAAAATTTAGGCCGCTCGACCTTAAGTTGCTTGCCGACGAGCCGAACATCGCGGAGTTACCAGCCGACGTGTGCATGCCTCTTCGTTTTCCCGTAGCCATCGTGTGCAGCCAGTGTGCACGGAGGTTAATCATATGTTATTGAATGTACTAAGAATGTACGTTATATCGTCGCATGGTAAATTAATCGGTCTTTTTACACAATCTGAGGTTAGCCTGCGGTTCGTGACCGTTCCTTTCACGTACAGTTAAAAAACTCTTGATAAACTTCGTGCCTGACACAACTCAGCTAGTACAGATTATCAATTACGTGTATAAGACATTCGATACTTAAAATAGTACTACCTGCACTGTGCACTTCTGACTACGCTGATTTGCTCTGTCATCCAGTAGTCTTCCCCTTCCCCTGTTAACATAAAGAATTCGACGCTTGGATAGCTATTTTTCCTTAATACTTTGAGTACCCGCGTGTACCAAATTGCACGCCGAATGAAATTTTTGCTTTGTACTGAAACTTCTTCGTTATTTTCCTCTATTTTTAGTAAAAATTATTTTCTTTGTTATATAGTGTATTTTTTGGTTTCAACGTTTATTTATGAAATTTATTTATTGTGAATTTATTGCAACAATAAATAAAATTCAAGCCCTCGAAAAGCCAAAAATTACATAATTTTACACATTTCCCAAACTTTATATCGGGTATCATTTCTGGTGCACGCAGCATTTTAGAATAAAACTATTCGCTATTAAAGGAGAAAGATAAAATCACTATTTGTTTCGAAATCATTGAAATGAAATCATTTTGTCTTGTTTATTTCACAATCAAGATCAAATATAATTTATTCAAAACGTTTTAACTGTATTTACATTCCTTTTTTTTGACAGCAAAAATTTATACATGTAAATCTTATTTTACTAAAAAAACTGTATTGTAAAATAAATATTAAATTGATATCACATTAATATTAATATTAGATTAGAACATTTTTTATAAAGGAAATAAAATATTAAATGAATCAGGAAATGTTTTGGAGTGATAAATAAATACCGATAAATAACTAGAGTGAAATTTTTATTTACTATTCATCATCTGCATTACTACACTAAATAGCATTTATACCATTTATATGCACTAAGTTTATTCTTTATAATGAAGAATTCACCCATAATATCGAATAAATTTAGATAAAATACATTCTTATCAAGTGATATTACAAAAGGAACTCTGCTACATCTTTAAAAGTTTTGTTAAACATATGAAACTTTTAATATATTCTCTCTAATAATGTGCAATTATCTTTGCAAACTTTTATACATTTGCTTGTGTTTCTGCATATAACTTCTGCAAGGCACCGTTAAATTCTTTCAAAATATGTGGACATTAATAGTATTGTTCATTATGAAAATCATTATTTAAAAATTATTTTATTGTAAATTAGGCGCCCGTAAAAATCGTTGTTATATTATTACCAAGTGTTGACTAGCTCTAATAAGTTTATGGCCAGATATATATTAATATATTAATTAGCATACTTAAATATATTTAACAACATTTACGTTTCGTTGTTAAAATGTTTATTAATAATTATATTGCAGAATTGAATAATCAATTTGTCTACAAATTTAGCAATCATCAAATAAACCAAAAGTTAAACACTTGTATGTGGAAGATCCATTACAAGTGAATCTAATTTTACAACCTGTACTTTTGATGTTAATACCTTTGTTGCTTCTATATTGTACGAAGACCAATAAGTTATTAATTCTGGGAAACCATCTTCACTAATATAATCAATTTTAATTGAACTGAACCGAGCACGTAAGCTCAAATTTGGCTGACAATTTCCATTTCGACACAATTGAATGATATCAGTTTGATTCGCGTTCCTAACTTGCACATCTGTATAATTCACAAAAACAATTAATACTCTTTCTATTAGTCTTCTTTCTGTAACAATAGATACTTTTTCTATATGTTCAGATGTTGAGTTAATCCATTGCCAAAATTTAATGGCAAATCCACAAGTATAAGGTTTTCCAGACATAACCAGAAAAGCTGGTTTTGATACGAAAGAATTAGGACTAGCATGATCCCAAATTACTATTGGTTGATTTCCATATTTTTGTAATGTTAGATTTATACTAGCTTTACAAAATTCTCCAGGACATAATCCTTTGTTTTCAATGGATAAATAGTGATATTGTGTAGGCCTCCAGTTATTTTTTTCACTATTGAATTTTAAAGTTTTGAACACGCTAAATGCCATTGTTGGTTTTATTACCAATTTTTTATACTCTGATAATTTTGTAGCATGTAATAAACCTTGAATAGTCATAGTTTTTATCATACCTATAAATAAAAAAATAATAAAAATTATACATCATTTTATTTTTCATATATATATTAAAATCTTCTGTATGTACATGTAAAAGGAAAAATATACTAATATTTAATATTATTGCAGTTAATTTTTCTTTTTAATGTCTTTGTAATTGAATTAAAAATTATATTTAAATTTGTACTTACTTTTTTTATTATCATCATAACAAATATAAGATACTGTATTGTTAAGGACATGATTATCTATATCAATGGACGAACAATTTCCAGGTGAATATCGTCCTAAAAGATGTCCAGTTCCACCAGATAAAAGAACAAGATTAGGCATGCTTTTTGGTGCTACTTCTATACTCAAAAAATCTTCTATTTTGTCTGAATCAATATCTGGTAAAATCAGAGGTAGTTTCTCGTATGTATAAATTTTTGAACTCCAATGTATAGTGCCTGCAATAGGTTCAATACTAGCCAAAAGGCCTTGATCTCCAGCAACTACACAATCTGGTTTTCCAGACTGATCAGTATCAACTGAAATACAATCAATTTCAGTAGGTGGCCGTTTTAACGAAACCAACCATAATGGTAAACCACTATTTGCTTGTATTGACATAACTCCTCCCCCTTCTGCTGATATTTGACCCTGGTCATCATTTGTATTATTTTCTCTAAATCGTTGTCCACGAACAAGAAATATCAATGTTGATGGGTTTCCATGGGTAATAGAAATAGGGCCATGTAATTCTAAAAATATTTAATTATAACATTAAATCACACAATATGTATTAATTACACCAAACATATATTAACATTCTATAACTTTTTCATAATTATGATACATAATATCACTGATACTTATTATCACAATATAAAAAGAAACAAACTATTAAATTTGATAGTATGTGATAGTGAAATAATAAAATTTTATATATATGTACATAACACACTTATATATACATTTAAGTAAACTTACCTATTCCTTGTAAAGTTTTATCCCAAGATATAGGTGATTCTGGTTCATTTACTGAAGGGCATACCATTGAATTATCACATGGTAGAACATATAGAAATATAACTATTGTTACAACACATAATAATATAGAAGCAACCAAACAAAATCGTCATAAGGGAGACATATCATGTCTTTTCCACAAATCATTCTGATCATTGCCCTCAATTACCATTATGGGTATATCATCCCTATAATATTTAAGCATATTTTGTCCATTTTTTGCACGAGTTCCTAAGTTTCTTGTTTCATCCAATGGATAATATACTCCATTTTCGTGAATAATAGTTGATTGCTAAAATTTTATTTGATTATGATTTGAGTATGATTTGATTTGATTATGATATGATTTATTTGATTATGATTTATTACATATTCCTTAGTTTACATTTTGCATTATTTATATACTTTATGCTAAAATTGTATTTGTTGTACTTGTTTTTAATATAAATAAAATTACATAGTAATTATAAAAATATACTAATAAAACTATAATATATACTAATAAAAGTTTTTGAACATATAAATGTTCAAATACAATATATTCTGTAAACTAAACAGATAAAAAAAATTTGTATAAAAATGTATTACAGACTTAAAATAAAAAGAATAATTATTTAGCGAGTTTTATAGTTCTGCATAATATTGATATTTATCTATAATGATAAATTATAATAATTAACAACTAATATTTAATATAACCATTCATCGTAAACCATGAAACAGGAAATTCACTTAAAGGACAAAGATTGTTTTATTTTTTTGTAACTATGCAATAAATCAATTATATACAAGATATAAGCTCATATAAATAAGCTTTCTTCATCTATATTTGACCTCAAAAGTATATTAATCTATAAATGCTTGCACTATTTATTTATATCTTTAATTCATAAAATAAATAAAGGGAAAAGATCAATTCGCATAATTTCAACTTACTAGCTGTGTATCATCGGTATGATCTTTAAGAATTTCACTTGTTTGGGCTAGACAATCTTCTTCATCTTCAGTATCAGTATTGCTTATATTCTGAGGTAAAGGGGTATAACCTTTTCCAACGTGATGATCAGACATGGTTAAATCTATGCAAAACACCGTGAATTCAAATTTAATTAAGTACTTGTATATGTATGATTAAATATACGTATATTTTACGTATTATTTCATCATCGTAACACCATTGAATATAAAGGATTGATAAAGAACGAAGCAGTCAGAATCGATAGCATTAAAATTACAGGGTACCAATAGTTAAATGTAACGATCCCTGGTTCTATTTTTGTACAAGCGTATTAATTATATCATATAGTATTTCAGATAAATTTTTATACAATTTGTACTGTATTAATTTAAGTTTTTAATCAAGTTAATTTCTCGACGATTATAATTTTTTATTTATGTATATGAGGAAGATAAATATATATTTTGTACATTTGAATATATGTGTTACACGTAAAAAGAAGAAAAAAAATACCATATCAGGAAATGTCTCGTTACAGAGTTACAAACAAATACTTATTTATGAAATGACGCACTGTATGAGAATAGAAGGTTTTGTTTATTTGATCTGTGTAGATACGTTTTGATATCCTTATATCAGTTATATTTTAATACTCTTACTAACAATTAGTGCCAACTAATAATCCAAAGTAGCATTTTACATCAAAATTCTAAGAATATTTACTAATGAAGAATTATCTATTTCATGCATTTAATATTTGCTAACTCTGTAATAAGACATTTCTCAATAAACTTTATATAACATTTTCTAGTTTTTTTTAATATGTAGATTAAGCTGTCGCAGTTTGGCCGTTGAAGTTCGGGACACTGTATATGTAAATTTTATTACATTTGTTAATATTCATGAATAAGTACAAGAAATAATAAATGTATAAATATGTAATATTATTTTCAAAAATTCACATAAAAATAGAAATTTTTCTATATAAAAATTACGGATATCGAATTTTATCATACAAACATTTTAGGAAAAATATGTAAATTATGTATTTAAAATAAACAATTTTTTGAAGATTTATTCAATTACTATCCGTGTACAGTAAGTACTGCTGCAAAATTATATAAAAATTAGAGAACTGGTCGTTTATAATCGGACCAACTGATTCCAAGTCCATTTTTGCATTTTCTAAAAAATACTCTCTTCTGCTCTCCATTCAATCACGCATATTTTCCTGAGCAAGGAGGAACAACTCACACAGAGATGAGTGAGTTCTGTTTATCGTTTAAACTTTCCCCGATGAGATTAAGAAATGTTAATAGCTCGTTGATGTTGTACCATATTTAAGAAATGGTGAAAATTACGACAGGATAATGTTATCTTAATAGCGTGGGAAATAAGCTAAACTTCGGTTAACAATGTATCACCTACGTATGATACGCAGATGACCGATGGACTCAAAAATAGCTTTCGTAGATCCCTGTCATAGATTTGTCTCTCCGACAACTTGCATAGAATGGAATTAATCATCCAACAATTATTGAATGTAAGATAAATCAACAGATTTATACGATTCATAGGTATCCTGTATAATCATGCACTTATGTGTATATCGAATTTAAATCAATCAAATATGTATGTATTGAATTTAATGTATTTCAAAATTTGAACGATATATTAGCTATGTTATTTCGAGATAATCTGAATAAACTAATGAGATATTTGAACTATTTTATTATTTAACTGTATGTAATAATAAATATTAATTTAATTGTATGTAATGATAAACATTATGTTTAATATAAAATATATATAGTTTCTAGTTTTTATATAAAAACGATACATGTACAATTTTTGCATCTAAAATCTATTTATTATGTTTGTTTGTAAAACTAATAATTTTGACTTGTATTTTTTGACTTCATCAAAGAATGAAGTTTACGTTTATTCTTTCTTAATTTTAATTTTTGTAATATAATGAAAATCGTCTTTAATTTCTTTTATACGGTTCCCCACGTATCTTCTAAGCTTTAAATGTGACATTAAACACGTAAATAAAAAAAAATTATTGAATTAACTAAAAATTTATTATTATTAAACAAAATAGTTTAAAATAGTTATAATATTGTATATAATAATCTATTGTACTAATGTATTATAATATATAATACTATATATAATAATGTATAATGTAAAATAGTTGCTATAATTTGAAAATTTGAAAACAGGACAATTGAATATTGTTGTTTTGATGTGTTATCAGACAATAGACATATACAATTTGTAATATCTGTTGAATATTGTATATAAGGATGTATTATAACACAGCAAGATGACCTTATGTTATATAAATACACGCTAAAGCAGTTGCTATGATTTAGAAATTTTAGAAATTTTAAACAGAACAATTAACATTGTGCTGTCAGGTATAAAGTTTGTAATATTTGTTGAATATTGTTATGAAAAATATAATATAATAAATAAATACAACTGAAAGCAAATATCGAAATAAGGTAAGAAATAGCCAATAGACACAGTTGTTTTTTTTTATTCAAGTACTTTATTCAGTAGTTGATTTGAATAAACAACACATTATTCAAATACAATTTGAAACACGAGATAAATTAATAAAGAAAAATTTTAGAGATGACTGCGATGCAATTTTCGTACGACCCATATCTAATGCCTATGAAGATTCTACAACAACAAACATGGTGTACGTTTTTACAGATGTGGAATTTTATCAAAGACAACGCATATTCTAAGTATGATGGGAATTACACAACAGAGCAAATAATACATGAGATTAGATTTCTTAAGACAGCAATACCATTTTCGAAAACACGTAGATTTCCTGATAGTTTGTATATTCATGTAGATAATTCCTTAATCAGAGCTGCTTTGGACAAAATAGTCTTAAGTAATGATCAAGAATCATATACTTCGGCATTTTCGTTATTATCTAGTTATTTTATGGTAGATTCCTCTGATGAAGAAAAAATTTTAGTTTACGATCGTTCAAAGTTTGAATCTACTTACAAACTAACTTGGAGGAAACAATAAATTAATACTATTATTATTATTTAAATACATTTATATTTATACACATGATTAAAATTAAAATGAAATAATTTTGTACTCTTTTATTAATCCCCTACAGAAAAAAATGTGTACTTATTAAAACATTTTTATGTTAAATTTAATTAATGTATAGTAAATGCTCTTAATAAGTCAATGCAAATATTGGTTAGTAAAGTAAAAGATCAGAACATGAAATACAAAGTAACATTTCCAAGAAGTTTATTTTTTTTATACTACTACATAAATATATATTTAAACTTAAGTCACTTTTAGTTAAGAATCTATAACACATCTGTTATTTCACAAAATTTTCCATATGTATATATATATATATTTATTTATTTCATTATGCTCTCTATTAAATAAATATATTGTATTTACTCATTTATCTATTACTGTTCGTTTTAAATTTTTATACACATATGAGTTTTTAACATTCTATTTCCAATATTGAAACAATGTATAAATATCTATTGATAAAGAAAAGTACAAATATTTAATTAAAGTTTAATTAAATTGTATAATTAATATTGTATAATTTGCTAAAAAGTATATATGAACTATAAAGTAAATGTAAAATATATGTAAACTTTCAATTGGAAATGTAATGTAATCACACAACATTTAGTTGTGCCATATTGATATTTTTCACATATTCACACAAATATAAGGTTCATTTATTTTTATAAACTATTGGCACAATTTTAGCTATAATATAAAATAATTTGAAATATAACATTTTATAATACTCAGTTTTTCATTCAATTAAAATTTTTAAGTTTTGCAAATTTTACGTTTCTACTTATATACTAATCATATTAATATAAAATTAATATTTAAAATATATAATAAAAAATACTAAAATATATAATAAAAATACTAAATTGTGAAGAACAGTTACATTTCCACTTAATTTTTGTTTATAATAAAATTGAGGATAAGCAGAAATTAACTCTGTTTATCTTTTCTTTTATAAAATTCTATGTATAATTAAAGTAAAATAATATTCAGTGCCATCATATTAAGTAAGTATTGTATACAAAAATAGTTACAACAATTTGATAAAAGAATATTAATAACATATTCTATTTTATTTAAATTATATTCTTTGAAAATGTTTTGTACCTAACATCAAGTACAAAATATTTCTATCTGAATACTTGTATGACAGCATGGCACTGATTCTAATAAAAATATGATTTATCATTAAAAGTAATTAACATTCGTTAACTGCTTTTAATTATAAATAGATGAATACATATTATATAACTGGTAACTAATTAACGAAGTATTTTATAAGACAATTAATGTTGTCTACTTAATTAAGGTTATTGACGTTCTAAATAAAACTTACAAATCATATTTATTATCTTAAAATATATATTATGAAAGATACTCATATCTATAATTTTAAATGCACAATAAGGATTTAAAAATATATAAGTATATCGAGATCTGATTGATTAAGTATGTAATCTTGAGTAAATGTTTACATAAAATTTATGTTCATTAATAAATTCATTACTACGATATAATTTATGAAAGAAAAACATTTAAAAAATATTTAATGGTCGTTTTAAATATTTATAAGAAATTGGAAGCTTGTTTTTTATAACACACAATATTCTTTGGTTTAATTATTATAAAAGAAATAGGTAGTCAAATTTCTATTATCATCACAGTATAATAAAAATTTTTGGTAGAAAATGGACTATTTAATGCGGAATGCAAAAGAACTACAAATATTGCATGTTTCTTAATTTCTAATTATAAAATAAATTCTTTGAATATAATTTAATGTAGTATATCTGTGACTAATATTGTTAATGCTGTTTACATGACATATGCATTATGATTAATATTGTTAATGCCATTTGCATAAACATACATTACACAATAGCCAAATAAATGTTATTTCTAACATTTTTTTGCAATTTTAAAATAATTCTATTGATTATTAATAATTACCATTAATACTAGAACATCAATAGACATTCAATAAACCTCTGTTTTGTAAGGAATCTTTTAAAGTTTGAAACAATTGCAACTGCTGCTCTGGTTTTAAGCTATAAACCTGCACATAAAATAATTACAAATGTAAATAATAAAGATTTAGAACAAGCTATATATTATATATATTATATTATACTATACATATACATTGTTAATATAATAAATATATTTTATATTAATTTTTATTTATAAAAATAATATACATTTGTACCAATGAAAAATTTTTATTTTATATATATTAGTTATTATAGTTTTTAATTTTTAATTACGCTTATATTTAATTGGAATCATTCAAAAAACAATACGAAATATTAATTAAACCTGTATAATAATTAACATATAATTTTTTTAATAATTAGAATCTTATATTCAAAATAATAAAATAATAAAGGTGATCGAAAATTTAATATTTACCTGTTGCAGAAGTTTCTGAGGTGAAGAAGTTTGAATAAATGAAGATATATAAACATTTACAAATGTTGCCATTAAATACTGACAGTCAAATCTATCCATTATTCCTCCATGACCAGGAATAATATCTCCAAAGTCCTATGGTGAACATACGAAATGAAGTTACTCATATTTGTCACGAGAAATAAATAAATAAACGTAAATTACCTTAATTTTGAATGCTCTTTTAAAACCACTAGCAAAGAAACCTCCAAATGGTCCAATTACAGAACTAAATACTGACATTGATAATGAATGAAGTAAAAATGGATAAAGAGTTAGGGTGGACTTCCCACTAAACTATAAAAAAAATTACATAATTAAAATTACATAATTAATTTCATATACAAAAATTGAATATATTACCATTTTCCATACAACTTGCAAGCTATTAGGTAAAGTATATTCTTGAAGTTGAAACAAAGGAGATGGTTCACAATCCATAGTCATTTGTCCTAAAATTTCACTATATTCTATGGGACAAACAAAGTAACGATACTGACACATGAGGTAAGATATCTGAAATGTATTTTATAAAATTTATATGTTTAAGATATTTAATAATACATAATATTCAATTTAAAATTTCAAATATAAATTTACCAGTAAACCAAGCAAGACTGTTGAAATACCACCACCTATAAAGCCTTCCCAAGTCTTTTTTGGTGATAATTTAATCAAAGGTGTCTTACCAAAGAAGAAACCAAACATGTATGCCATTACATCATTTATTACTATCATACTGACTGGAACAATGAACCTGTGCCAAATTATTACATATTAATATATATAAACTAATTATTACACATAGAGAAGATATTATCTTACATTGACTTACCATATCAAGCCTTCAAAAATATTTTTAATTATAAGATAACTTTGTGTAACAACAATGAGTAGAGCAACATGAGTCCAAGCGAATAAAGAAAATTGTTTCATATAATACTTTTTTACAAGTGACAATACAAACCATACAAAACCAACGATATATAGACAAAATGAAATGAAACGATGATACGTAACAAGTACGCGTAAATATTCCTATAAATAAGGAAAATATTGTTAATTTTTAATTTAAATATAGATATATTAATTTAATTAAGATATCTATTTATATATTTATATATTTAAATTATTTGTTTATAATTTACATAAAATAACATTAGTATAATATATAATTAATTTAAAATTTAAATTATGTGGGAAACCTTACAAAAGAGAACTGGAAACCATATAAAGTATATAAAGATAATGCTTCAGGAAGCTTTATTTATTGATTTTATGTCAATGCTAGATGTATCCATAAAATTTTAATTAAATTTAATTTTAATTTGACATTATACTTACTGTACGATTAATTACCACAGCAAAATAGTCCATTAAATTTTCTCCATAAAAGAAATAATTAGAAGTAATTAAGAAATACCACGATAAAGATCTGAACCATGGTAAACCATGAATTCTGTAAACTGCATACCCAATGTTAATGATTTCTTGGAAACATTTTACTTGTACAATTAATGTCTGAAAAAAAATGGAAAACCTCATAAAATAAAAACAGGAAATGAATTTATCAAAATAAATATATATTTATGCAACTAGTATCTTAAACTCACTGTAGCCATCAATGCTAATGGTCCAATATAAATAATACCACAAAATCCAGCAATCATAAACAAGGTAAAAATACTTCTGATCACCCAATTTTTCCAGCTACAAAAGAACTTCACTTTTAAAATTCAGATGTTATATATTAATATTGTATATTAATATTTCGAACTTGTATGTTACTATTTGAGACATATATTGGATAAACTATTATTTCAAAAAATTTTACCGTTCAGATAAACCAGAAAGTGCTGAATCCAAAATATGAGGAGTATGATCTGTTCCTTGCTGTATAGCCTTAGCCAATTCCTCAACTTCCAACTTTGCATCATCTTCAGATTCCACATCTTCTTTCTGTAAGACACATAATCCAAATCATTTGTTAATAATTATTGGGAAATATAATATTAGAGAACATTGGAAAACACCTATATTATCCATTTCATAATATTATTCTTTATTAAAATTAAGAATGCTATAATTTTAAAATTACTTTACTATACTTAAATTATTATTAAATAATCAGCCATTCCAAAATAGTTTTTAAATTAATAGAAAACATATTAAAAATTATTTCTCAAAAAGCCATAGTTTTTACCATTAGATAATAGAAACAATTATATATAAAAAAAGGACATTTAATTTAATGAAATGTGTGTTATGTGATTCATATACAATGTATATGAAGAACTATGTGTTAATTCAATATCACTTATAAAAGATTAATAGTTACACAACAAGAAATGAATGTTCTTACATACTTATAATATATGGAATTATTTTTATTATTTCCTGCTTTGCAGATCATAAATTAAAGAAATTAAAATGTCATGATTTAATTTCATTAAATATGAGTCTTGTGTATATGTTTCATTTACTTTTTATGTATCCTTTTTTCATTGGAATGTGCTACCATCATAGCATAGAAACAGTTTTAAATCTTATTTATTAATAGATTAACTCTAAGCATGATGCAATAAAAAAAGGAGAAAAAAGTTCAACAAATGGTTATATAGGATGCACGCTGAAATGTACTAATACAGTTACATAGTAGCTGCATAGTTATCATTCAATTTTATTTAATCTACATACACTATGAAAGGGAAAGGTCAATTCGCCGTCAATGAAGCTTAACAATCGATAATATTAATTAATTGAAAATTGAAAGAGTATTGCAGCGTATTAAAATAAAAAATTTTTTAAACTAAACTTTAATATGTATATTGTGTGTGTATGTGTGTGTATACACTGTATGTATATATTTACCTGATCATCACTAACATCCCGCGTTTCGGCCGTATCCCCGATTCTTCTTTTACGAATTTCCGACATTTTTTTTATACTCTTAAGGATTCGTTATTTTCGTGTAGATGCAAAAAAGTCAAAATAAAAAACAGCTCTGTAACCACTGATTTATGCAATGTAATTGCATATTTACATGTTTAAATATTTAATTGTAAGGAGCGGATGTGACAAGCAAACACCTATCACATTTGCGCAAATCAAACTGACAGGGTAGCGCAGGGCATGATCGTCGTGACGTTCGGCTCTGTCTTCGGGTCTCCCCGGCAAATCAATAATAAAAAAAGTAAATAAAACTTGACACTTTGCTCGGAATATCCGTCCGACAAGCTATGTTGAATAAAGTGTCGCGCCAAGCATAAACGCACTATTTCGTAAATGAAAATTCATCGATTAAAGACTAAATTACAAATTAAGCAAATCGTAACGATCAATTGTTAGCCTTAACAATAATTTAGGTATCACTATCTAATAAAACGCAACAATGTTGAAAACGTACTTGTCTGCCATTGTACGAGCGAATATTTCTAAATGGTTTAACAACTAATTACAGAGTGATCATATTCATTATTCGTACAACTTGCATATTTTTCATTAAGAAAAAAATGTCTCTAACGATACGTTAAATAGAACCACACTGTTACGCGAAATACCAACCTCAAAGCATGAAATATACAGCACGATGTGTTTGCATTTTGTTACAATGTGAAATTTTGTACAAATTTTCGCTGAATCAAGAAGTAAAAAGAAATATCATCAGGAAGGAACACCGTCGTTAAAGTTAATTAAGATATTAATCAAGATTGAGTATTGTCATTGGTATCGTTTCATATAATTTAAGTCATAAAGATCAACAACAATGACATTGCCTGGAATTGGAGTGTTCGGTACAGGGAGCATTGTCAGAATAATCATTCCCTTTTTAAGAGAGAAAGGCTTCAGAATTGAAGCTATATGGGGACGCACACTGGCAGAAGTGTCAGAGGTTGCAACTGATCTTGAGATACCGTTTCATACCAGTCGAATTGATGACGTACTTCTTAGGAAGGATGTTGATTTGATATTCATCATGTGTTCTCCGAGCTTGCATGCGCAGATTGCAGTGAAAGCATTAGGAATAGGAAAGCACGTTGTGTGTGACAAACCAGCTGGTCTGAGTCAAAGTGAAGCTCTAAAAATGGTGCGTGCTGCACAGTACTATCCTTCCTTAATCAGCATTGTTAATCATAGTTTAAGATTTTTGCCAGCATTTGTTCACATGAAGAAAGCCTTGGAAGAAGGGTACTTAAATGGTCCTGTAAATGTAATAGAAGTTAGAGTACATATGGGCAGTTTATTGCACAATGGTTAGAATATTACTTTGCATATGAAATTGTCAAATATTTCACAAAAACATTTAACAATTCAATTGTCAAATATAATCTTGTCTTTTGTTATAGGATATGATTGGTTATGTGACGACACGATGGGAGGAGGAATTTTAGCTCTAGTTGGAAGTCATGTGATCGATTTGATCTTTCACTTAATTGGCCAACGTGCCTCGAGAGTACATGCCGTGGTACGAACTTTCATGCAAACTACAAAACATATAAACGGAATTAGGCACGTCACGTCGCCAGATTTCTGCAGTTTTCAAATGGAATTAAGCGGTGGCACATTAGTGACAGCAACATTGAGTAACCACTTACAGGGTCAATTATCTCAGGAAGTATTGATATGTGGAGGTGGTAATCATCTTCTGGTACGTGGTGGAGATTTGCATGGTTGTCATAACGGACAAGAAGAGATGTTATATCACGATACAGATGATTTGCAAGATATATCATTTCCGATTGCTGATTCTATACCAAGACCGTATATTAAAGGATTAAGGAAAATGATCGCTGCATTAAGAGAAGCTTTTCAATCTGTTGAAGATAAGAAAGGTTGGATAAAAGAACCGGTGTTCTCTGCATCATCATTCGAGGATGGTTTATATGTACAAGCAGTTATTGATGCGTTGCGACAAAGCAACAAACGACGAGAATGGGTAAAAGTTAATATCCTGACAGAAGAACCAGATCCGAATCCTTTGTTAAGCGCAGCTGTTAGAGCTACAGCTATATCAATATAAAATTGGACATCCGAAAATTGTGAAATTAAGTGAAAATTTCATTTTTGCATTGACGAAGAACAGTATTATAACGAACAAAATCATAAGTTTAATATTTTATAAATGTATAGTTATTATTTACTAGGCAGCTTTAAAAACAGTTTGACACAAATAACTGAATCATGGACTATAATTGAACATCTCGTTTAGTACAAAAACAGTGTAAATGTGCATGTGTATGTACAATATGTACAGTATATTTTGGAAAAGTTATAATATTATTTATATTCTTCTGTAGAGATGTCTAACTTATGAATAATATTTATTAAGAAGTAGATCGTAATAATATTTATTTATACATTAATTAAAATATTTATATTTGCCTAATTAAACAATATAGAGTAATAAATTATTGTAAATAACAATTTTTTATTTTTAATAATTTATTGTATGTTCTTATTGCTTATTTTATATTTCACACAATGCGACACATGTAAGCGATTAAATTATGAATATAATATGCAGTTTGTAATAAAATTATGATTTTTAAAAATTTTAAGTATTAATGTTATTTTTTAATAAATTTAGAAGCAGAATACGAAAGTTTATAAAAGCTATACGTTATATGAAAGTATACATTGAAAATGTTCTGAATGCTTGATCATGCGCACAGATTCAATTCATACAAAAATTGTAAAATGTATATTAACAAAGGCAACTTTTAAATAATCGTATATACGTACAATTTCATATCTATAAAATAGCTATACATATTTATTTCTGATCTTGGTAAAAAAAGAAGTTGATTAATTTTTTCTGGTATAATGGAATGTAAATTAAGCATTTAAGCTTGGGGTCAAATTCATTTTCTTTTATTTATTCTTAAAAGTTCAAATATAAATTTAAATTTATATAAAATCTTATACAATTTCATAGATTACTTATTTAATTTCATTTATTTCATTTATTATGTAAATTGATTTAACTTGTTATGTATGGAATTTGTATATTTGTATTTGACAAATTGTAATTAACAAGATCAGCAATGCCATTTGTTTATTACAATTAGTAATAAATATACATATATATTAGTGATAATTTAATAACATTAATAGCATGTATACGTAAAATGGATAATTTAAATTAATTTTCCATCGTAAAGTTGGTAGAACTTAGATAATTTGATTCTGAAATTGCCAAAAAATATTTTTGAATTTTCCAAGAAATATTTAAAAAATAATCAATTTATGTTTTATTTATTCTTTGCTTATTAAATCTGTTTTTTCTCAATTGAAGTTTATAAATTGCCGTAAAATTTATGGATATTCTTCATGTAAATATACATTCTATTTTTGTAAGTCACATGTATATTTTTACTTGTTAATTTAGTTACTTGTTTTACTCACGTAGTACGTGAATAAAACGTGTAATTAAACCTCGTTTATGAATGAAATATTAGTTCGTTTGATTCGAGGCACAATAATTTTAAGAAGAAACGCAAAGGTAAATGACAACTCTTTTTTTTTAATTATGTAATTAGTATTTATTTGAAGAATAAATTTGTTTTCCTACATTTTTGTAGATTGTTATGAAATACGTTTGCCATGGAAACAAACTTATTCTTTAAGGACAATTATTTATTATAAATATGTTCGCATTTTAAAGTAATATAAGTTTATGAAGATAAACGAAACTTAATAATGATAAAAATTTTAGAAATCTTACAACAATCTAGTCGAATACTTTTTTCATTCATGCTATTTTTATGCTCAGTTGCAGTTAATTTTCATAAATTGCAATAATTTATGATGTTTCGGAATTTTATATATAATATTGAATTATATATATATATATATATATATATGTTATAAGAAAATTATTCCTATAACGTATTGTATTGTATTTATGCTTCATTCAAAAAATTTAAGTGTTTGTACGTTCATTGTGCTGCATGTAGTATAAACAATTGCAGTCATAAACATATGCTGCTATAAATAATCGTAACAGTAATCATTTTACAATTATAACACAATATTTATATTTTGAATAATTATTATCAATAACTAGGGTAATATTTAATGTTGATATTTGATGAAATTTACATTATAATTTCGACATTATACTTCATATTTCATTTACATTTGTTTTAAATATTCATGTTTTCAATAAAGTGAATGGATAAAGTAATAAAATGAATATATGAAATAGACAACGAATATTGAGATAAACATGATAATTAGAAATTCTTTATAGGGTATCATATTATCAAATGATTACATATTGGTATTTGCGTACATTAGTCAAGCAATACATTCAGACACAATATTGTTTCTATAAAAAAATGACTTCTTTGCTGGTTCCTCCGGAATCAGTACGAGGAATGACATGTTTAGATCGTACTGCATTCACAATCACGGTGGAATTATCATTTTTAAAAATTTATGGTGCAACACTGTCAAAAACAATATCTGTTGTGAAAAAATATTTTTTTAAGAAGAGAAATTTCAAACCAGTTCAGACAACAAATGATGGAACTGTTATATATTTGAATCCAATGTTAATAAAAACATTTGAGGATTTTACAGAAAATGAGAAAAAACAATTACTGGAAATGTATAAGGAATTTGGAACAACAAAAATAATTTTGAAATATGATAACTGGTCATCTTATGAGATATTAAGAGCCATTTTACCTAAAGAAATTGATGTCCCAACTTCATATAGCATAATTGGTCATATTTTGCATTTAAATCTGCGTGATATACACGTACCATACAAAACTGTTATTGGCCAAGTTTATCTTGATACAATTCCAAATGTCCGAACAGTTTTGAATAAAATAAATATGATTGATACAACATTCAGAAACTTTACTATGGAAATCCTTGCAGGTGATGAAAATACTATCACTACAGTAAAGGAAAATGGTTCTACATATGAATTAGATTTCTCTAAAGTTTATTGGAACCCCAGATTAAGTACAGAACATGAAACTGTAGTAATGTATATGAAACCTAATGATGTTTTATATGATGTATTTGCTGGAATTGGACCATTTGCCATTCCTGCTGCTCGTAAAGGAATTAAAGTATTTGCAAATGACTTAAATCCAGAGTCCTATAAATGGCTACAAAAAAATGTCATCATTAATAAAGTTCAAAAGAATATTCAATGTTTTAATATGGATGGCAGAGACTTTTTAAAAACCATTTTTAAAGCTGATGTTTTAAATAGACGAGTTGCTAACAAAGCTGGCATGGAACATATAGTAATGAATTTACCAGCACTTGCTGTTGAATTCTTGGATGTATTTTTTGATTCTTTTAGTGAAAACGAGATCAAACAAATATGTTGTCAATCACCAACTATTCACTTATATTGTTTTATAAAAACAAATAAAGGAGAAGATGCTTGCAAGCTGGGACAATTATTGATAGAACAGAAACTAGGTTGCAAATTGAGTTCTGATTCTTTAATTGAATTACATTTTGTCAGAAATGTTTCTTTGAACAAAGATATGATACGTGTATCATTTTTACTAACTGAAAATATATTAAAAGGCGAGGAGCCAGCAATGAAGAAATTAAAAATGGAAAATACTGTTGATGTACTTCTAAGTGATGATATTACAGAGAATAATGGGAAAGAACAAAGGACTCAAAAAAAAACAAACGAGCAAAAATGTGTTTAAAGTAGCAACAGTTCGTAGTGTTAAGCTGAAAGCAAAAGCACAAAAAGTATTAACTAATTTAAAAAAAGTAAGTGAATTCTTAGAATATATTTAAACATCAGTAATGAATGCAGATATATATATGTATATGTACATGTATATGTATTTACATTATAGACAAATATGTTTTAATATTTAGATTTTCATGATCTGTGTGTGTGTGTGTGTGTGTGTGTGTGTGTGTGTGTGTGTAGATACAAATATAAAAATATGCAATTTCTTATATAAGTTTTCTTTATTTCAATAGCTGCATTTGAAAGAAAATAAAACAGCTAAAGGAAATAAGGATAAAACATTGCAAATTGATCAACAGCTTCAAGAATTGCAAAAGGAAGTACATCAGTCCAAATCAAAAATGAAAATAGTTAATATAAAACAAGAAAAGAAGAAGAAAGCGCAGACTGCAACACCAGTACAAACTGATGCAACAACTTCTTTGGTAGAGAAAATGCAAATTTGATGAATGCGCTTAATTTAGTACTCAAAATGTATATAATATATTGTATTTTGTTAATCAAAATCTTCAATAATATTCATTCATTTTGTACATTGTGATTGAAAATATTGTTACATACATTATGTAAGCTTCCATTAAGTAATTTTGTATTAAATAAAGATATTTAAAAGTATAAATCTAATGGGCTAATAATTTATTTCTTATCACCTAATTTTTATCTTACTTATCTAAGTATAAATATGTATAGGAGTATCAGAGTATATTAAAATTTTATTTGTTTAATGATAATTTATCGTACTACAGCATATTAAAAGAATTTTTCAAATTTAGCAGATACTCTTGACAGTTACTTATATGAATCTATTTTGGTATGTACAGGAAACTATTCATGATGGAGACTGCCTGTACTGCTGGTTTGATTATAATAGGAGATGAAATTTTACGTGGCCAAGTTATAGATACAAATACTTCATATCTGGCAAAGAGATTGCGAGCTTCTGGCATTAAACTTCGAAAAATAACAGTGATTCCTGATATTGTGTGTATTATTTTATTAGAATTCTAGTTATAGTATAGTTAATTAGTTATTCGTTATATCTAATCATTACTTCAAAAGTGTTAAGTAATTATATATATTAATCAATATATTTCATTTATTTTGTTTCTAATCATAATAAAATATTAGACACATACGTGTTTATATTCTCATTGAAATCTAAATTCATCTCACTACGTGTAATGTAGCCTTTTGTGTTAGGTAGATGAAATCGCAAAGACCGTACTTGAGGCTTCTAAAGAATATTCTGTTGTATTTACATCTGGTGGTGTTGGACCTACACACGACGATGTAACATATGAAGCTGTGGCCAAAGGTCTAGGTTTGAAGCTTGAACAACACGAAGAATTAGTTGACATTTGTGTAAATCTTTTTCCCAACAATAAAGAAGCTTTACATCTTAGTATTGTACCAAAACCCTGCGAGCTTATTCCTGTTTATTCACCAAGTAAGTAAATCTTGTTTGACACAGAATTCATATATTGTTATATTGAAAAAGATTAATGAATGTATTAATTAGTCATGTATTAATAATTAATTTACTTATGGACAAAGGACGGAATTTGATCAATAAAATTAACTACATAAAATAATTTCTAGAAAAATATGCTATCGTAAAAGCAAAGAACGTGTACATATTGCCAGGCTCTCCAAAATACTTTGAACTTGCTGTTGACATGATTGTACCTCAATTAAAAGGAAATACCCCTTTGCATCTCGAAGAAATAGATATTAATTTAAATGAATTATCATTAGTTAGAATTTTGAATGAACATGCAGAATATTGGAAAGACAAAGTTAATATTGGCAGTTATCCACAAATAACACCTGAATGTTTTACGAGAGTCACGTTGGAAGGGAAGAAAGAAGATGTTCTGGAAGCAAAAGGCAAACTTCTGTATTCATTGCCAATTCAGAAAATTCGAAATCTAAAAGATGGATTTAGCCATTATCACGTGAAAACTGTCCTTGAAGATACTGAAAATGAAGTGCATATAAAGTATGCCTTGGATGTTTTGCAACAGTGTTATAAAACGTAAGTATATTAAATTAAAATTGTCATACATATCGATGGAAAAAAAAAATAACTATATGCAAAGATAAACTTAATATATTTTTATCTCGTAAATTTGTATCTCAAAGATATAAACCAGAAGAGATTTTTGTAAGTTTTAATGGAGGGAAGGATTGCACAGTGGTTTTACATTTAACTGCCTGCATCGCAAAGTTACAAAATATTTCTTCATTATTATGTTTATATGTGACGGCGGAACCATTTCCAGAAGTAAGTTTAAATTAAAAATTATTAAATATATTCTTGACTCTTATATGTATTTAAGTGCAAGATCATATTATTCTACGATATATGAGATTCAAATTCAAATTCTATGTAAATAGAAGCAAATTTTTAAATTTATTTTCTTTTTGTCCCATTATTCAATGTAGCATTGACAGCGTATTTATGTAACAATTTATTTTTTTATTTATAAGTATATTACAAGACTTTTGAAACAAATACATACATTTGAAATATTTTAATTGATAATAATTTGAAACGTGTTTTGAATGTTTTAAGGTGGATTCGTTTGTAGAAAGAGCAGCTCAGTATTATGGTTTAGAGCTAATAAAAAAGAAATGTCCTATGCGGCAGGCGTTATGTTTGTTGTTGAATGAGAAAGCGAATTTGAAAGCAAGTCTTATGGGAATGAGGAAAGGTGATCCTGGTACGGAAAATCTAGAGGCTTTCACACCAACTGATCCAAGCTGGCCGAATTTAATTCGTGTGAATCCTATTTTAAATTGGTCGTACGATCAAGTATGGAAATTTTTGTTAAAACATAATGTACCATATTGTCCGTTGTATGATGAAGGATATACGAGTTTAGGGACGAAGTCAACAACAGTACCAAATCCACGATTGAAAGATCCTAATAATTCATCGTTATATCGCCCAGCATATGCTTTAACTGATGAGTCTGCAGAAAGACAAGGCAGAGTATAATTATAAAAAAAAAAAAGAAAAAGGAAGAGAAACGCAGCACAAAATCTTATAATATTTTTGCATACTTTGTGCAAAAACTTGAAAACTTATTGCAACTTACTGTAAAAAAGACAAAAGATATTTTATAAAGACAGAGATATTTTATTCTCGTCCAATATTTTAATCTGCTAGAATCTTTCTATCATATATTTTTAGAAACGTATAATTTCTAAATTAAGTATATCTAGTTGTAATCTTTTTAATTCTGCAATATAGCAAGTGTTCTTACGAAAGTATTAAAATGTAATTAAATTGATCATTTAATTGATCTAAATAGATCTAAATAAATGATCAATTTAATTACAATGTGCAATTATTATGTATTATCGGTGAAAATGTACTAGTACGTAAGTAAGTACGTAAACAATAAAAGCGAAAGTGTAATTTTAAATTATGAAGGAACTGAATCTTATTGTTATTTCCGAACGCAATTTTCGTCCACAGTCAGACAGAAGCAAGAGTTTCGTTGAAATCTATTTACAAGTATTTCAGTGGAAATCGAGGAAGAAGAAACCGAGGGAACGTGTCAAGTTCAAAGGAGCATCCACCCTTGATAAAATCGAAATTTCGATTGACGATTAGCTTCTATGACGTCGACTAACGTTCCTGCTGACCCAGAGCAACTAGGGGATGATCCCCGGCTGATCCTCGTACGAAGCCAGCAAAGCTAACAGATTAGGGTTTCGTTGATCCAAGGGGATAGAAGGAATGGTATAAAACTGCTGCCTGATCAGCCGTATCAAGGAGAGGGGCTGGCAGACGGTGTGACCGACATGTCCAACAACACTATTCATTGGGAGGCAAGATACCTACCAGCAGGGCCACCACGTTTGCTGGGATGGAATGTTCCTGCCGAAGAAATAGTCCACATACCGGAACATTGGCTGGTCTATCCCGAGCCGAACCCCTCCCTTCATTATTTATTAGCCCTATTGTATATTCTTTTTACTTTCCTTGCTTTACTTGGCAATGGTTTGGTGATATGGATCTTTTGCGCGTAAGTCATTTTCTTCTTTCTCAAACTTTTGCTTCCTTTGCTTCAGTGTTTCTTATTATTGTATCTTTTACACATGTGTTTTGATAGTATCACTCACTCAGAGTAATGGAATCTTGTTTTAGAAAAAAAACGAAGAATGCTATTTTTAATATATTTTTCTTTCTTTTTTAAATGTTATTCAAGTCTTCTTTAAATATCTAATATCTCTTTTCCTCATTTTTTCGATTCAAGTGCCAAATCACTGAGGACCCCCTCGAACATGTTCGTTGTGAATCTCGCGATCTGCGACTTCTTCATGATGATCAAGACACCTATCTTCATATACAATTCCTTCAACACCGGTTTTGCTCTGGGGAATTTAGGATGTCAAATATTCGCGGTCATCGGTTCCCTAACCGGAATTGCGGCCGGGATGACAAATGCAGCTATAGCATACGACAGATATAGGTATACAATCTCATTTACCTTTAAAAGGACTAAAATTTAGCTAGTAAACGAGTTCAGTGTAAAGTAGTTTGGCATTAGAAATTCATAGTGCAAATATTGTTTATAAATTTATGAAAATTTATGTACAAAATGAAACCCAAGTGGTTTTAAATTGTTCTACCTACTAAAATTGTCAAACAAATAGATAATTAATTATTACAATTGTATATTTACTTGATTTCTTATTTATTGACACACCACATATTATACTGTAGAAGTCTTTTATATCTTTGTATGTTATGTGCATTCTATGAATTTTTGCACTATCAAATTTCTCATAAATATGTAAAAGTCCACAGTCTAATTACTTATTAATAGTATTTAAAGTGTCTTAATAGTGTAATAAGAATAATTTTATATAAAAACTTTATATAAAAATATAACTTAATAGAATCTCCATGATTGCTGTTAATTATTAGAATTATAAGATAAATGCTTGTATATATATTTCATGTATGTAGCATAATGCAGGTTTGAGAAAAACAATCTAATAGACTCTAGAACTCTGCCTGGTTTCTATTTAATCAAACGAGTTTCCACGTTTTATTCTAGTACAATTGCAAGACCTCTGGATGGCAAGTTGTCGCGCGGGCAAGTTATGCTATTCATCGTCTTAATCTGGACATACACCATACCATGGGCGTTGATGCCTGTGATGGGAGTGTGGGGACGTTTTGTACCGGAGGGCTTTCTCACCAGCTGCACCTTTGATTATCTGACCGACTCTAACGAAATACGAATATTCGTCGCTACCATATTTACCTTCTCCTATTGCATCCCAATGACGTTTATAATCTATTACTATAGCCAGATCGTTAGCCACGTTGTGAATCACGAGAAGGCGCTCCGGGAACAGGCGAAGAAGATGAACGTCGACAGTTTACGGAGTAACGCGAACACAAATACTCAAAGCGCTGAGATTCGTATAGCGAAGGTATTTAAAAGAAAGAAATAATATTATCACAATATTATTTCTTGTACATTCGTGCTTGATTTATTATATTAACATTTTTGAGCAATTTTTTTTTTCTCTTTCAAAGTATATTATCTTGGTTCTTTCAACAATTTTGTCGTGACCGGATCAATTAAATATGATCATTGGAACATACTCCATCAAAATAATGTTTCCATGTTTCTGTAACGAAAGGTGAGAGCGATAAAGATTCGAATGTTATGTGATCATGTTGCGTAATTGGTTCGTAATTTAATCAATATTATTGACGTGTAAACTTCATAGAGATAAAACGGTGCTCATCTTTGTTAGCTCTTGACCTAGATCTCGAGTAAATACAGTATGACATATGTATTATACAAATATAAGAAAAGAAATATTCGAAATAGTCAAGAAAAGATGTACACTGTTTTATTTCATGAATTAATATACAATTGTCACGTGTCCTTATATATGGTTGTTGTTGATTGTATGAAAGAAATTTTCTGTGGGAAAATCTTTATGTTTAAATGGAAATAGCGATTGCAATCACTTTGAGACGATGTAACAGTCATTTGATAATACGTTTGTTTTGTTATTAATTTATACCAGAATTACATTTAATTTACACTTGCTTGACATTTATCATCATTGACTAATAATTTGTGCGTTTGTCCAAAGGCTGCCATTACGATTTGTTTCCTATACATCTTCTCGTGGACTCCATATGGCGTGATGGCAATGATCGGTGCGTTTGGTAATAAAGGGCTTCTGACACCTGGTGTCACGATGATACCTGCATGTACGTGTAAAGCTGTTGCTTGCTTGGACCCCTATGTGTATGCTATAAGTCATCCAAAATACAGGTAAGTAAGGAAAGGCTATGTAATTGCTAAATATTTCAAGCACATTAATTAATTGTAATTCTCCATGGTTCTGTACTTTTCTCAAACATGATACAACAGATAAAGTAATATAATAAACTGCAAAGGAAGCCCCTAAATGTTTTAAGCATATTAGTTAACCATAATTCTTTGCAATCTACTTTTGTGTTGTAACTTCACAAACTTAAATTTTGTGTTAATAAAATCAATTGCTTTGGTACATTTTAGCAAATCATATTATGAAAATTCTCCTATTTACATCTTTTCTGTATATTTACATGTTTTCTGTATATCATACTTTACATTAAACATAGATGTTATGTTATATATTTCTATTATATTTATGTTGAGTATAGATAGATATTAAATTTCATATCATGCTATATTTATCATCATTTGAATAGGTTGGAATTGCAGAAACGACTACCATGGTTGGAATTACAAGAAAAGCCGATATCCGATTCGCAAAGCACTACAACTGAAACAGTAAATGCACCAGCCTCGAGCTAAATTTTTATTGGAACTGTTACTCTTCGGCAACAAAAGATAGCAATACACACATACATATTTGGCTCTCGTTCAACACTTTGTTTGTTAAAGACTTGCGGACCTTGTATAGCGAAAGTAATAAAGCAATTTCCTGGCAAACGTACTTCCATAATTTTCCTCGATGTAATTTGCATATACGATGTACATACGTATTATACTATATATATATATTATATAATAAAGAAATATATATGTATATATATACAGAACATACATATAAACATATTTTCGCAAAGAAAAAAAAATAAAGAAAATAAACCGAGATAGTTTAAATCAATGTGTATATATATGAGGAGGAATGTTCCCTGTTACGATGAGAATTTTCATGTTGGCGTTGGGTACATGATTGATAATAAAAAAATATTCCCATTAAGGAACAAAAAACTGGTAAATTACAACTTTATTCACTTTGTTACATACTACTCGCCTTATGGTTACGATGCTAGGCCTTAGAGATTTGAAAATAAAAGAATATATACGACCGATCGACTGAATCTGGTTAACTCACGGCTTGTCGATATCAGGTCGATATTATGATAACAAAGAAACTTTTATATAACTGCGTAATAGCGTAATTGAGAATTGACTGTGTGTGTGTGTGTGTGTGTGTGTAGGTACAATTAGTGTTCTTAGTTTCATTGATCGAATAGATACTGTAGTCGATTTAGGAAATCGGTTTCAAACTTCTGTATTGTATACCCTCGTAAATGTACAGTAGTCGAATTTTTACGATTTGTCGATTGTTCGATAAAAAAGTGGATAAAAAGTTATTTCGCATTGTTGTACAATATTCTTGTATCAATTGCGAGAGGATTATGACCTCGGCCGTCAGACTTGTTCCATTTAAATTAAAATCAATGTGAAGTAGCAAGAACCCCGAAAAACTGTGAAATTAAAATTTAAGAAGAGAAGCAAAAGAAGAATGTCTTTTCCCGCTTCCGTGCGTTATTCAAAATTTACGAACTACGCAATTACTACTCGAGCTTCTTTAATACTACTTTCTTGCATTCTTTTCTGGTCGTTTCCGATCCTCGCGTTGTATCTACGTGGTGTGGTGGCTTTCCTTCTTTTTTTGTACTATGTCGATGCTAATTCGTCTAAGATATAATTACAACGATAAACAATAAATCACTGTTCTGTACATCTCTTTCGCTAGGAACTTTCTACTCTCGACTATGTTAATTCACAGAAGACATCGATTTACTCCAGCGACTCCAAGCGATTACAAGGTATCGAGATCCAACTTTGAATAACAAGTGAACTGGGGGAAAACAAGTCTGCTAAATCTCACATAGAGAAACGAAAGTTCCCTAACACGTCGAATATACGATGACCACATGACCAATCCCGTAAATAATGACGTTGCATCAGCGGTAACAACGTTGTATACGTATTATCGTGTAATAAAAGTTAAATCAGATAAAAATCACGATCGAAACAGTTTAGACCTATCTCTCAACGAAGACGAGAATTTCGCGTTAAAAAGTGTGAAACGCTAGATTAGCATTCGGTTTCAAACGGTTGCCCCAAGCACATATGTTCATGTTACACATATTTGAAAACAATTACAAATACATCGTATTAAAAAAATAGTTGAGACGTGAACTCCGCACCATTAAGCATAACAAAGATCTCTCCGCAGCACAGACGTGTCTCTACGGGGAGTATTAACCATCTTATTAATCTGCAACTGTACAATTATTTTCTTTCCCTACGATCTACGATAACAATGAAATAGAAATGCCATTATAGAGATATGTATTTTCACTGACGGTTTGTCTAAAAACGTCGGAGAGAACGTTCGATTGCTCGTTCGATTAAATACATACATAACAACAGCGAACGGGATTTCTCGTTTGTTTCGTTTCTCTCGATTTAAAACGAAATAGAAAACGATCGAAAGAAGAAGAAAAAAGAAAGAAACGATCATCGTTTCAGAGCGAATAAGAGGCGATTCTTTTTTTTTTTTTTTTTTTTTGAGCACGCACCCTAGTTACATTCGAAAAATACGCGCGTTACGATGTTACATCGTCTTTGTTCTCAATATTTTTTTTATTTTTTTTCGGCGAGGACAATTGATTGAATATAATTCCATTTCGCGCTTGATAATGACGGTGTAAAAGTTTCTCAAGGAAAACATGATTGTTACCGCGGCTAGACATCGGTACCTGGATATAACACAGACGATACTTGCGCTCTGGCTATTCTCTACATGAGCATGTTAACACGTTTCGTTACTTTTTTTCTTCTTTTTTTTTTTTTTTTTATTTAACATCTAACATACGCAAAGTACACTTTTTTTTTTCTTCTCTCAACACTTGAAAACGACCTGAACTCATGGTCGTGCACGTAAGCGCTTCTGGTTCCACTGCGATAATTGCATTATATAAAGTACATATGTTTTACATGGAAAACGTGGTCAGGTAGATAAAACTCTTCGGAAGTGAAATTCCGTGTCGTTTAAGCGAAAAGGTAAATCGAGAAGTTTAACGTTATTCGCAGGACATTCTAGTAACTTTGTGTTACATACATGGCTCTTCAATTATATCATTATTATAATTATATTTAATTATATTGTTATTGAAACTAACATTGAATAAAGAAAAGATCTTGCTACACTATCCAGTAGAAATGAGAGTTAAAGCTTTTATCAGTTTGATTTCATTCAGCTAAGTGAAAGTTGCTATTTTAAAATGTACAATTAATTAATATTAATAAGACTGTAATTACACTCATTGAAGAACGAGTCATTCCTTCTGTTATTGGATCAATAAATAAATAATTTAATTTAGTTTGAATGGGATTGTTGAGTAATATCATTCAGACTACAATAAGTTTTTTTACTTAAAATAGCATTATTGTTTGTGAATTGCACGTTAGTGTTAGAAGTTAAGACATTCCCCAAAGGAGGAAAATTTGAGATTGATCTTCTACCAATAATTAATGACAATTAATTGACATGGTCATCTATCAAATAATAGATTAAGAATTTTATATATCACACACTATAAATGAAATTTAAGAACAGTACTGCAAATGTGAAATTTAAAGAAACAAATTCATATTTATGTCCAGAACAATTATTTGGAAATTATCATGCAACAGAATTAATAGAACATCCTGCAGGTATTCTTAACTAATATATACATATATACACATATGAATATAATATGCCAGACATATTACATTATCACGAAGTGCTCGAAATATGAACAAGAACAACTTACGCGGAAAAGAAAATCGAAACTTTAAAATGGGCAGTTATCATTGAGTTTTTTTTTTGTTTCTTTCTTTTTTGACAATCTACGTTCCCACGCTTTTCCAAGTGCAGCGTGTGTTTTGATTTCGAACGAGAGGCATCTATCACATTTTTGTGCCCCCTATTACGTTATACGTATTATTATTCTAATTGTACGTAAGACACTCAGCAGACGAACGAACACTCGTTGTCATTTCAACACTGAGAGACTTTTAGCGGAATTTCACCGGGCCGGGGAACGACGAATCACTCGATTACAATTAATTGAAGATCGGTTGCGTGCGTGTTTCTTATTGCTACGCCATATGAATGCATATTACTGTTCGCGGCGACACGCAAAGCTGCCCTAATTATTAGGCGAAGGGGAGGAAATAACAGGATCGTGCGATTACTCTATTTAGATTACGATATATCTCATTAAATTCTCGTTTTCTTTTTCTTTTTTTTTTTTTTCTCAGCGAACAAGGAAAAGCATATTGCCTAAAGATCTGTTTATTTGCTAACATTATTATTACTGTTATCATTAGAATTATCATCATTGTTCCATGTACCTCTCATTTTTGATTAACATTCTTTTTGTTGCATTTCTTCCACTTCTATATAATATATAAATTGAGATTTTTGTTTTCGCCTTTGGTATTTCATTTCATTCTTTTTCTCGTTTGTTTTCTTCACTCATTCTTTGCAATTCTGAACTTCTTTTTCCTCGAAAATACGTACAATCTTCTCCGTGTTGGTCTCTAAAGTTTTTAATATTATCGAACGTGTATCACTCTCTTAGAAATTATCACGCGTTTCTCGTGAACTTATTTACACGACAGGCTGGGTCGAGAGACATCGTCGTTGAAATGCGGATGCACGGCCCTGCGAACATTGTGTTACAGTGTGTTTGATGGCGTTTCTAATAGCAAGACATTGACGCGATGCGATCGCCGAGCGATTCGATGTACAATCTAACTTAGCCTAGGTATATGCGACACAGATGAAGGATACTATACGAAGGAGAGCTACGCTACGACGAGAAACGATGCTCTTGAGGAAGACAATTCGTGTCGGTGCCTCCTTTGCAACTGTGGCCGCCTGTCTTGGCTTTTCGTTTATCCTCGATGCTTAACTTCTTCGCTTTGTGTCCACGCAACGAACATATCAACATCGCCTGGCTGTCTTTCGACGTCTCTTCTGTCTTCGTCCTCGATCTCTTTCGCTCCTCCTTGTTCTTGTTCTCTGCCATTGCCTCGTCTTGCGCGTGCTTCTCCTCTGGAAATTTCGTTTTCAGTTTACATTACAAAAAAGATTCTGGACAAGTGAAATTAAATGAAATTAGATGTCGTAGAAAATAGATTTTATAGTTTAGAAATGGTGGAGTTTTTAACAGATTAATTAAAATCCATGAAGTTTCCAAACCAAGTTTCTTCCTTTGTTTTAAATATTTGAAATTTTGTTGTGCTGAGGCTCACATATGTGATTCATATTTAGGATTAGACAAACATGTATGAAATAATTATAATAACATAATAATATGAAATGTGATACAACATATGTAAATGATATTAAATATTAAAAATATTATCCAAAACGACACGTTTTGATTATTTGGTTATCAAATAAAATAATTTTTTATTTCACTTGGTGCTTTGTATCTGCTTCAAAAAGTAATATCATAAGTAATTTCTGATTATACTGTGACAAATTCCTGTTGGAATTATTTGTCACTTCATTTCGATCAAATTTCTTCCACATAAAATGTGCCCAAGCTTAATAATATTACTTTGAATATTTGGCAAAGCTTGAAGCTTTAAGAGGTACAGAATATTCAGGTTATTGATTAAATAGAAAGGAGAGTCACTCACTTTTGGAACTTCCTAAGCAGTGTATATGTTGAAATCGTTATTTTAATAATAATCCATATTATATGGAATTAAAGTAATATATTCAAATCAGAAATACGAATGAATATGAAATCTGATTTCTTAGTAATATTCATAATTATTTTATGTTATTATGTATGTAAGTTTCATTAAATACTCTTTTTGCTTTAATTTGTGTAATTTGAATAAATACAAATTTAGTTTAGGAATATTGTACATTGATAACACTATGGAAAATATATTCTATTACATATTCTATTACAGATCTAAAGAAAAGTTGAAGTCTTAAAATTTAGAGGGTGCCTGCAGGGTCCATAAAAAAATTAGTTTCACGAATTCAATGTATCCCTTTGTAAATAATATATATTTTTTCCTTAAAACATTTTTTACTAGAATTTAAAATTTTTTTTAAACTATAGTTGCTCTGTTTCTAAAAGTTTCTGAGTGAGCCAATTCGTCGATTTATTCGCTAATCTTTAGATATCACTGTTTGAACTTTAGCCAGTGTATTGTTGTTGGCTCAGAGCAATATTTTTGTATTAAAATATAACAATTAGAGTAATATTTTTGGATTAAAAATATAACAATTGGAAAGAAATATTATAACTGCAAAAATTTTATATTACAATTGTTTGAGAAATTCTTTTAGATACTAAACGAACCTGATAAAGTTAACACAAGTTTCTTTATCTTCCGTAGGACAAATGATATTACATGTTACATAAAACTGAAATTATAGATATCTCTCTCCCCTGAACTAATAATTTTCCAACGAACATAGCTTAAGACTTTTGTTTTTTTATAAAGAACTTTGAAGAATCTAAGAACTTAAAGAACTTTTTTAGCTGCTTTAAAGGCATGATTCCATTAAAAAAAAAAGTTGATCTTTACACATCCATTGGTATATAAAGGCTTGATAACTTCAGAACGCGAACATCTTGAAATTATTCATCTTCAATTGCAAGCAGTTTTTGCCCTGTGAGCAACATCAGCGTTGAAAGCAAGTGCCTGGCTTTACACTGTCCCTTTGAGGGCTAGTGTAAGTAAAACTAGCAACAGACGGGGTCCCCCTCTTTTAATTGATCAGTTATTAGCCGTCTGAACAGCGTGCTAGCTGCAAAAAAAGGCTTCAACAAGTACCTTCGAGGACCTCGTCGAATATCGATTTGCTCGTCTTCGGAGCACAATTCTTTTCCTCGCTTTGATCCGCCTCGTTCTCCCTCTCGATGTTGTTCGTGCGGAAGATCGACTCGAGAACCTGCCTGGAGAGCAACGGCGAGACAGGCCGCTTCAACCTCGTCCCGTTCACGTTGGAGAACACGTCGCACGTGTTGGTCTCGTTGTCGCACATGCTCACGGTCGACGCGTTGTCGGTGATGAGCTTCTCAGTGTCCGAATCACCGACACTGCTGTAGTAGTTGTTGCCGCTCTCGGACTTCTTCAGTATCGACTTGGAGACCCGGTGCTTGTCTATGAACGGCACACCCTCGCTGTCTATCGAGTCAGCGGACAGGGAGAGCTTGCTCTCGGTGTTCGTTCCTGAAATTTGCCTTCGATGACCTGCATATACGTATAGTTAGTATTGCGGCGACCTAGAATAAAATGGAGATCGATGGGGAAGGGTGATGATCGAACAACCTTTGAATCTCATGAAGTGAACGTTGTACGGACACATAATACGCTATGTATGACAAATCACCTATTGTGAGCATCATGTAAAATGTAAAACACTGACAATAAAAGAAGATGATTATATTGGTAACCAATTTGTATATATGGAAGTTACAATTTTATTTATTGCAAAAATATATTTAATAAACAATTTGTAGACGGTATGAATCGTCATCTGAAGTATATAATATTAATTATATATTCTATTTACATATAATATTAATATATGTGTATGTTTTGTCATCTTTATGAAACACACCCTTGCGTTAATGTCTTGTAATTTTTAGATTGAGACTTGATTATAATAATCATGATAGTCGGTTATCATAGTAGTTAATGAAATTTGATTAATGAATTTAAATATTTTGTATAACACACATAATATTATTTTGTTAACATACAAAATTCATAAAATGTTCCTACAAGTATTCGTATACTTTCATGAGCAACTGTATGTGTGTGTGTGTGTGTGTGTGTGT